GCTCCTTGATCCAGGTAGATTAATGACATGTACCTTTGAATCACCAACCAATAAGGAACATACAGCAGAGTTTTTATAAGGTAAATATTTAAACAGCATGCTGAATCTAACACAATCCAGCCAGTCCTGCTGAGGAAGATGCAGATAGAGGCCTCCACAACCTCCTGGATTACTGACTCGCTGACAGACAGACCACAGTTTGTGCAGCTGTGGGGATGCATGTCTGAACAGGTGGTCAATAGCACAGGGCACACTCCTGGAAATCCAACACAGGGGCTTTTAACAAGAAGGGACAGAGCAGACTCTACTTCCTGAGGAACCTCGGGTCCTTTAACGCATGAAGCAAGATGTTACCAGTCTGCTGCGGCCAGTGCCATATTCTTCACTGTTATCTGATAGAGCAGCAGCATTGGAGCCAGCGACAGCAGCAAACTGAACAGACTGCTCTGTGGCAGGCTCTTCCCTGGAGCTGGTTGTGGAAAGGAGGATGCTACGCAAACTCTTGAACATTATGGAGGACCCCTCATAACCCCCCTCAACCCGTTGGTCCAACAGCAGAGCACTTTCAGTCAGAGACTCTCCGCTGTGACAAGGAGTCACAAGAAGTCCTACAAGAAGTCCTTCCTGTCATACAAGTAGTTTTTTGTTAACTATTCACCGACTGGCTCCACGTAGGAGTAAAACATTAAGCACAAATGACTGGTGACAGTGAAAGCAGCTTGTACTCCGCTTTGAAACCAGTTCATTCGCTCCCTGTTGTCTTACTGTTGTTGTCCTTGGACGTGTTGTTGCTATCTACCTCTCTTTTCCTCCCACCATCTCTGCATTTCCATATGTTCCTCTCATTTTTTTGTCTCTTTTTCATTCTCATGTTGCATCACACTCTCCTTTCGTGCCATCTCTCCTATTCTTCATCATTTTTTTATACTCTTAATCTCACACTCTTTTCTCTCTACATTTCTGTCACTATAGTCTCTTTTTTCTCTGTGGTTTTGTGCTCAGTCTCACTTGTCTCTCCGTCTTTTACTTTCCTCTTTGGTTCACCTCTGCCTCTCTCTCTCTTATCTTTCTCCCCCGTTCTCTTTATCCTTATTTTACCCTACGTTCTCTAAAACTAGATTGATGGCTCAATCCTACATGTATCAAGGTAAGAATTACAATTTTCACACCAGCACACACACACACACACACACACACACTCAGACAAATGGTGGTAGACAATGACAGCCCTATTCATACACTCATTCCCTCTGCCTCCCACACACACTATCATTGTCTGTGCTGACATTCACAAAACTAGCGGAAATCTGAAGGCAGGACAGCAGATGTGGTGTCCACGTGGACAGCAGATGTGGTGTCCATTTTTAAACCAAGACAGGAATATTTTAATTGTTATAATGCTCTTGTTTCTGACCAGTTTGCAGGTGTATATTAAGACCTCAGGCCAAGAGGTTAGTTATTACATCAGGAAACCAATACGAAAGTCAAAGACTTGGCTGCACCCTCTCTCCTGCTGGCTCAAACCTCAGTTCTGGGTTAAGAATGTGATCTATGCACAAAGTTGCCAAGAGCAGCAGCCAGCAAAAGGTACAGTAAAAAACACAGTGCTACATCTAAACAGGGCCCCCACTCCTCCCAATCGGTGGGTTATTCCTCAGCTGTGAGAAAAAAAACTTATCTTTTATTTTAATTTCACATTTAGATTTTGGTCTAAGTTTTAGATTTGGATCAACTGCTCTGGATACAAGGATGCCCCACCACACATCATGATCCTTCTATTATGCACCTGTGCTTTGTTAAAACCCTGTCACAAACTTATTCTCTCATGCCATTATATTTTTCAGCTGCTGTGTTTTCCTAGTTGCTCTACATCCCTAAACAGAAACCAGGTTTGTGGTCTACATTCTGCTTAAAAAAAAAACAAATCCAGTCACTTAGCCCGTTCCACTGTCCTCTCACTGACAGTTCATTTCCTATGATGGCTGTCACTTACTTTCAGTCAGTGCATGTGTGTGCATGTGTAACACACACTTACAACCCAGCATAGAAGCTGACAAGCACGAGACTCATATCAATGTACCATAAATTAAAAATACTGTATGCCGGTGTAATTTCAGCAGGTACAGTTTACTGACACTGCCCCTCCTAATCCAGGATGACAGGATCCTTAAAGCAGGAATTATCAGCTGCTTTCAGCCTTTCCATGGCTGTTTCTGTGTGTGTACGCACACACAGTATATACGGATAATTTCGCAGTCAAAGATGCTTGATTATGCTGCATCCTCAACTATAAAAATCCCATTTATGCTGATTCCTGCAGTTTTTTTTCTGAATCATTTATAAAGAAGGAAGGGATGAGGGGGGGGGAAATGCAAAACACACTATCTTGTGTGTTTTTGAGAAACATGTTTCTTAATGCAGGAATGGCAGAGTGATTGCAAATTGCCTGTCTGTGTATAATACGAGAGCAACCCTTCATCTAGCTGAAAGCCACAGAGGAGCAAAACAAGAAATCAGTGAAGTTGGTGTCCCACTTACAGTATCATTTCCTCAATGAGCACCTCTCTGCCAGCACGACGGTAACCTTTGACCTCAAACCATCCGACTGCTGGGTGCTTCTACAACATTCAAATACCTAAAATGAAGTCTTTAAATGAACCTCAGTGACATGCCTTGCATCCTCTGCTCTACACCTGTTGCATTTGGTTCCAACAGTAATGCTTCTCTCTACTGTCTCCTAAACTAAATAAACTGAAAAGCATTCTGGAAGAAATGGTTTTGAATATAAACAGAAATTTGAGAAGGCACATACTTTCTGAGGTAGAAAACTAAAGGGAAGAAGCACATCAAAATGATCATGCAGCATTCAAGTGACACGCATCAATGCATAGCATTAGCAAACAACCAAGGACCAAGTCAAGTTTACCGTGTGGCCATCAGTCACTGAAATTTACCAATAAAAAAACCAACAGAGAATGTGAAGGTACGTCACGCAGTGCTGAATGTTGGGACGGGGGCACCATTTTTGGAGGTACGCACTGTATTTACCTGCACTTCTTGTTTTGTTTGGCTAAAAAGTTTCTTAAATGATTTAGATCTCGCTTTACTGACTGCGGTAAATCAGAATGGATAACCTTATGACTGTAGCTCACTTGGAGACCTAGAAATAACTCTGCACCTGATCAGTTTGGGAGCTAATACTAGCTAGCAGGTGTCTGCAGATGACACAAACACTGCAGATGAATCAATTTCTGTCCTGTCTGTGGTCAAGATGAACATTAAAATGGACGTAGTTGAAGTATCTGCTACTGTATGTAGCTGCATGGGATAGTTTGTTTTTCCTTAACTTATAGATGTATCTAGTATATATATATATCTTTATTACGGATAATGAGCATGATGCTCCAAACATGGCACATTTACCCAAAATTCAACACAGCGTGCTGTCAACTTCACATTATCTACACAGGACACAAAAAGCAGAAGCCAGATGTAAACTCCAGTTCTGGATCAATGTTTACCAAAATGATGACTGATAAATAAAAGTTATATGGATACATTCATCATTAACCTGATACACTGTTTGACAGTCATCCAGAATCCTTGAAACTGTCATTTCCACTCTATCAGCTACAAGCATTGCACCAAACTTCCTGGTTCAGTAGTAAACTTCAACCTTACAAGATGAGGAGGACTGCCTCACGTCACAGCAGGAAAAGCACAGGTGTAATCAATTACAGTGCCAATGCAATGTAGTTGTAACATGTCCAAGATTTTACATTTCAAGGTAATAAGCACATTGTCTTTACCCTTTCTTGGTCCATTCGCCTTTGCTGTGCTTTAACAGTACCAAAATAAACCAAATTTTATCTGGCAGAATTGGTCTTCTCTTGTGGGTAAGTCAGCATTTCCTGCATCTGCTTCACAGTAAAATCCTCACAGCAACACTTCGCTGGTTCGATTCCTGGCAGTGTTTCACTTCTATCGATTCAGTTGTACAGCAGGAACAACATTGTGAATGCAGTTCATACAGAACTAGGAAGCTAATGTGCACCAAACTGCTCCAATGATTTTACTGTGAAGCAGCTGCAAGAAGTGTTCAGGATGCATTAAAACTAAATTAACTCTGCAAACAATGGCTTTGAATTACAGCACCAACAGTTTATACTGTGCAGAAGGTAAAAAGGCTCTAAGAAAATAGCTGCACCATTCTCATTAGGACAAAGAAGACTGATATGAAATCTTGCCAGAATAAAAAGGCAATGCCTTAACACAAATATGGCCTGTCAAGGGCTCAAACATTAAAGAGGCGGTGATAAATGGAGTGAAATACATGTTTTCTGTTCAAATTAAAAGAAAAAAATAAAATAAAATAATGCACAGTCTTCGGTCTGTTTTGTATCTCCCTTTAACCTTTTTATTATGGACTGGTGCAATTTCAACTCTGCTGTCAACACCAGTTTTCACATTCAAATAAATAAATAATAAACCCGTGACACTGAAATTTAGCTGTTGAATTACTCAACATGGCAGGTGGTCTTTTGCATTTCACCACACCAGTGTACTCTGGCTGGTAAAAGAGTAAAACTGGCAGGTGACTTTTGAGATTTATCAGCAGCTGTTGAAACACAGTCAGGTTCATTTACCCTGCGGTTCGAGTGTTTCACAAATGAGGCCCCGGTGCCAGAGGCTCGTCAGCCAACCTGCGGGATCTTCTGAACAGAGAGCCTCATATAGAACATTATTAGTATTATTATTCCCTCCCTGGGAGCTGGTTATAGCTGCTGTGAAAACTCATTTCCCTCTCCTCTTGTCCATGTGAATACCTACCAACAGGGAGTGGGAAGAAGAAAGGAACAATAACTGCATTTCACATGACAGCGAAATGAATAATTTCAACTGTGTCTGTGCATGCAGTGTGTGTGTGTGTGTGTGTGTGTGTGTGAGAGAGAGAGAGAGAAAGCACAGTGCTGTGTAGGGCACCGTGTGTGTGTGCTTGCCTCGTGCCACTGTGAAACGATTGGGCCTGGTGATACACAAGGCGACCACAGTGACGGGAGCATCGATCTTGTTTCCTCCATAAAAGAAACAGAGAGAAACTAAGAAAGTTGAAATAAAGTTACATAAAATGAAAATGATTACAGTTTTTAAAACGAGAGAATGAAGTATTAAAATAGGGCCAATTCAAGCTGTAACTTTTACTTTGGTATAATCTCTCTAAAGGTTTATGTCAGTCCCCTGGGTCTCGGCTGAGTCCCACCTGCAGACTGAAACCACCAGTTCATCTGATTGCACATTTAAATCAGGTCAAAACTGCAACCTTTCAAAGCTCCAACAAAACATTTCTATTTATAATTAATAACATTAGTGACATATAAATAATACATCAACTTGTGATTGTGCCAATTTACTGATGCAATTTTTTTTTTTGCACCAACATGTGATATGCATAAAATATACTGGTAGCAGACCCCGGGGCAGACCCAGAACACGCTGGAGAGATTACATAACACATCTGGCCTGGGAATCCCACCAGAGGAGATGGAAAATGTTGCTGAGGACAGGGACGTCTGGACTACCGAGCTGAACCTGCTGCCACCACAATCCCATCTTGGATAATCGAAAGATGGATGGAGAGATGGATGGATAGGTGCCTTTTGGGCTGATTTTTAAATGTATGAGTGAGTCTGAGGAGCTGCGCTGTGGTAGAACAAACCAACAAAACACACAACCCAATACAACAAGCCAGCAGTCCGTCTGGGTGCGTTTGCAATAGCACTGACACTGGTCAACTCACGTGTCACATGAAGCACCAGAGCAAAATGGATGTTTCCGTGACAATGTCATTCTCAATTAAAGGCAGATTCTTTTATAAACCAACTGTAATTCTATGCATTTATTGATATCCACAGTAATTGATCCTGCCTGGTCCATCATCCAGCACATCCTGCTTGAAATCTGATCAAACACCTGGGGGGGGACAGAGAGGCAGAGAGTGTCCTTCAGTATTCAGTAAACCAGCAGATTGTTTCCCCTCATGTCTGGACTTCTGAAGGCAGAAACTCCATAAAGGCCCCCTGCCAACCTGCCTGAGGACACAGGCTTCAACCACGCCGCTTCAAAGGCTTTCTCAATGTGTGCGCATGTGTGCTCCTGCCTCTGTGCAAAAAATACCATCTTTCTTGTGTGCCCATGTAAATGAGGCTGTGATCCTGAATATATATGTGTTTGTGCAGGTATGTGCGTGTATGTGCAAACACTACACAAGTACCATTCCATGTACAGGAAGTAGTTGTGCTAGGTAAGCTAATCCTGTGAGAACTGGGAATTCTGCATTAGCATTTGAATAGTACACAGTGCCCTGAGCATTGCTGACAAAACTAGCTCACATCCTCAGTGCCGGCTTATACTGGCACAAAGATACGCCGCATATATTCAGAGCTGAGGAGGAAGATTGTTATAGTACAGAGAAGCATGCAGCCGGTATGTACACAGGACGTTTCAGAGAAACACCACCTACCTGCTGTTTGCTTTTAAGATAATGGGGGCTTATCTAGTGAGTGTTTGAGCTACACCCTCCCTCACATTTACACACCCAAAAACATTCTCACCTACAAACTGTCCAATACAACCACAGACTACATCCACATGTACATTAACAATGTGCTTACTGGGTAAGAGCCCAGGTAAACAACACCTGATTACATGCGAGTATGAGTATTTGTAGGAACACAAGCTGGTGTCTTGATAAAAACCCTACATTTACACACTTTTAAAACAGCATTACCGTGACATTAAGATTAAGACAAATTGGTCCACAAAGTGCCATGTGTTGGCCCCTGGCCACTTCCTGGAACATTTCAGCTCAGCAGATCCCACCCTGTGTTTAGAGAAACTGGTGATTTTGGCTCAAATGTTTTTTCTGCAATTAAGACTGTAGTTCAGTGAAGCTCCCGTTTTAACTTGTGCTCAAGTAATATAGCACTGCAGCAGAAAGGGCCTAATTTACACTTCCTTTTTATGATAGGAACAAGCTGTGTGTGCTAATGATGATACACAGCAGCCTGTACCTACTGACAGATCCTACAATTTTACGCTGGGTGTGAAAAACTGTAGGATTATGTTGGCAAGTCTGTATCTGGCAAAGGTATTAGCTGAGGTATGTTACAGCATGTGTACCCTGACTTGAAAATGATACACACACACACACACACACACACACACACACACACACACACATACTATCCTTCTGGATGTACAGATTCTCTTATTACCCAACAGACTCGCATCTGACAAAGCAAGTCCCCACAAGAGGAGATGGTCCTTTTTACTTCTTCTGCTCAGCTAAGTGGTTGCAGCTGTTTCTATCCCTCCAAATGAAGTAGTTTAATTACATTTACAATTTCATATTGAGGCACTTAGTTGAGAATCCTGCCCAGGTCATCTTACAGTGAGAGCAACACCAGATCACGCTTCAGTGCCTGAATTATCCACCATTTGAAAAACACCTCCTACTCTCAAAATTAAGACCAAGTGTGGCTCTTCTTTGAGAACTGCTGATATTTTAAGAGCTTTGCTGTCAGATAACTATTGTACTTTACTGACTAGATTCTCTGTTTTACAGATACTGTATCTCATTATGCTGAGTGTTTCCAAAACTGCAATCATTTATAAAACAACTTTTATATGTTTCACATTCCTTCCTAAAACAACCAGGAACTGATAATTGTAAAGGTCACTTTAACCTGGCTGTGATCTCACTGCTTGATCTTGTGCTCTGTGCCCTGTCGAGGCATTTGTCACTTCTCATTGAAGCTGAGTAGGAGGCAGCGCCCGTCCATCCATCCACTGTCTAAACCACTCATCCTGCGGAGGTTCACGGGGGGCTGGAGCCAGCCCCATCCGACACTGGGTGAGGGACAGGGTACACCCTGGACAGGTTGCAAACCTATCACAGGGCTGACAAACAGACAATCATTCACTCCTACAGTCAATTTAGACTCGATAATCAACCCAACTTAACCTGTCTGTGGACTGTGGGAGGAAGCTGCAAGCTCCACACAGAACCACCCCAGTCAGCCGCCAGGGTCCAACCCAGAAATGTCTTTTTATGGTGAGACAGTTGCCCACTGCTCCACCGTGCTGCTCTGGGAGGCAGCAACTCTCCCTTAGGTCTCCGGATCACCTGACTCCTGTCATTCCTCACCCGTCCACTGAAGGCCACACCAGAGGTTCATACTTCTGCACGCTGCCCGAACACATCACCTAAATTCTAACATCACTATCCTAATATGCTGAGAGTAATTTTAGCTGGTGTAATGTCTACTATCTTCACCATCATGTGTCAGCATGCTAACATTTGCTACCTAGCATGATGATGGTATGTTTTTGATCGTATCTGATAAATTCAAGTGTGGACCTGAGAATGGCAATGGATACAAACCGATCACTCCTGTTATTACAATTCCTCCTGAGGGGGGCAGGAAGATGTGTGCCACATTTTATGGAAGACAATACAATAGTTGTTGAGGCATTTTACTCAAAACAACAAACAATCTCAATTTGGCACCAAAAAAGGGGATCAACAAAGTCATTGGGATTGTGAAAGGAACCAAATCTGTACAAAACATGCCAGTCCATCTGGTAGGTGTTGCAATACCTCACTGCAGAATTTTGACCTGCTGGTGTCACTACAGAAAAAGGGAACTCAGTAGTGGATCACAAATGTCTGCACAAACTTTCACCTCAATCCATCCAACAGCTGTTGAAATATATCAGTCTGAACCAATGGCGGCCAACATCACAGCAATTTAACAAATTGTACATGAAGTCAAACTGCTGCAGAATTGCACATGCTTTTGACTGCAGGTGGTCTTACTGTAATATGTGTTTATGCCGTTTACTCAGACCTCTCTGAAAGCTTTCATTCAGTGGCTGCTGAGCATTAGCATTTTACCTTTTAGCCATTTAACTGATCCAGAATGGCACACAGTGAGAGGAAGACCAAAGCACGTTACAGTTCCCAGACCATCTGCATTACAAGTAATCATTAACACGGACCTCGGGGAGGTCAAAGGTCACAGCATGCTATCGATCAAAAGAACTAATAAACCTGTGATTCAACAAGATACCTTAAAATTCTCAGACACAGACCTGAGTGGAGAGCTACTAGAGTTTATATGCAGCACTATGTGGCATTTACTGTGTGTATTTCTTTTGTCTTTACATTTTGACACATATTACGGAGTCTGGGTGTGAGCTGAATATGTAGCGGCCCTCACACACACACACACACACACACACACACACACATTGTGTGTGCTCTGTCATCTAAAAATCTTTTGCCTTGCAGTCTTCGAATTATTCATTAAATTCATGACATTAACTGAACTGAACTGGACGTTGCCAATAGTGTAGAGTGACAAATACAGCAATAAATCTAATTACTCAAATAAGTGGCAGCTGAACACAGTGTTAACCCTCACAGGACTTCACCTTCACTGTGCTGTAAGTGTGAAGACACACACACACTTTACAACAACGCACCTTTAACATTCCAGCAGCAGACAGTAACATTCCTATACAGAATAATGTCTACAACAAAGACTATTTTTATGGATTCCCATTATATTCAGCCAATATTCCTATAAGGCCATAGAGTGCTTTAATATGCATTAGTGTCTGAAATGTAAATTAAACTACTTTATAATATTTTATGTCCTTCAATATCACAGTATTAAATGTTTCACCAAAACGTGTGCTATTCTAGGACTTCTAGCTTGTGTGTGCATGTTCTGGTAGGTCAATAAAACAAGGTAAGAGAGAAGGAATCAATAGAATTCAGCTCACCACCCACAGCTAGCATGCAGCTGGTCTTTTGCGCAACAGCCATCCTGCAGCGCACACTGTGCACAGACACCAAGTCGGTCGAAAATGAACCTAATTATCTTCAAAGGAGCCACAGCAACCTGATAATGAATTAATACAACGGCAAGAGCCCCTCCTGTGGACTTATGGGTATATTATTGGGGTATTTTGGGGATGGGACTGGTGTTATCATAGGAAATTTAATCTAACTAGCTGCATATTACATCGCTGTCTATAGAGCCACCGCCATGAGATTAAATTGGAATATCTTATGATAGCAAAGGAGGTTAAGATGCCAAAAATTATAACTACAGACATTATCATTTTGAATTTAAAGCACAGCAGAGTTCCTTTATCTTAAACTGGAAGGTGACAGAAACACTACACAAAGTACTGTTTTACTTTTGGTTATAGCCTATTTTGGGCACATTGGTGCTTCAAATGTGGACTAATTATCTCAGCTACTTTACATTTCAGAGAAAGTTGTGTGCTTTTTCCTCCTCTGAATCCACCTGGTGGAAGCTACTTCACTCACAACCCACCTTAAAACTACTAACAAAACCTCTGGAAACTGGAAACCACCACCATCGTTTAGGCTTCTAATTAGTGCCAATTCAACAAGTCCAGTCTGCCCATTATCTGTGCTAATTACCACCATTAAACACAGTTACATTAACTTGTACAACACTGAACTTCACTTAGAACATTCTTCTTCTGATTGGTTTGTTTTTTCTCTAGTCAGATTTCATACACTATTCACTAGAGTTATGTGTTTGTCCACACTGACAGTGCACATTTATTCCACGACTGATGAAAAAGTGAACAAATATCACAGCCGAACTATACGTTTAAATTAATATAGTATAGAGGTCGTGGTGGTTTTACTGGAGCTTACAGTGTGACTGCTAACTCCACAGACGTGTCCGACAGGGACTTGTATTTTTCTTTTGACACACACTCAATTTATGCCGCGCACACGCAAAATATCAGAGGTGGTGGTGTCTGTACTTCACCTGGTTGTACGCTGTCTCCCCGCCTCCTGTTACTCTTCTTCCGCCTCCTCCGGTACCGAGCTCCGCGACAGAGACGCTTCATTTTCCGGTCAGGAGGAGCCGGCGGCGCCCGCAGCCGGGATGCTGTCAGAATTCCATTTTACACATGCAAGAAAACAAATACAAGAGCGCACTAAGCAGCCAGCCCGCACTAACTAACACAAAACTAGTCTGTCCGCTCCCACTGGCGGTGTAATACCGACTACAGGAGCACGCGCTCCCGCTCGCGCTCCCTTTCTCTCAACTCACAGAAGCTCGCGCGCTTCTCTGACACGCCTGACAGCCGTATGTGCGTGCACGTGTGTGAATAAGTGCGTTTAGCCGAGTGAGTCCTGGCCGCTCCTGCAGGTTTGAATGCGGGAGCATGGAGCTCCACCTGCCGACACCCACAACTACTGGAGTCCGACAGAGCAGGAGCGCGGACAGGCGAGGACAACACCACACAGTCAGCTGGCTGATCGATAGAGGATTAATCAGACACACTGGTTGGTGTTGCATTACTGCCGCTTCCTTGTTTGCTTCCTCGTTATACTTTTGGACACACAAAACACCCGATGTTAATCGGAATCTTACCCATTTCAGATATTTTTTGGGCAAAATGATTCAACAACACACTGAGGGTTAAACACTGGGCCAGTGTGGGTCAATAACAGCACCCAGTTATAACACCAGTGTTGATGTTGTGTATTACTGGTCACTGGATCAAAACATAAAAAACACAGTCTTGTACCCATGGATTTTATTATTGTGTCATTGTTATATTAATAACCCACAAACCCTGGTCAGTTTTAACTCAGTGATTTTAAAGTGTGAAGAAAATAATCAGACAGTAAAGTGAAATACTGCCTAATCACTAAAATAAGAACCTATAAAAGCACAGCAGAACAGCTCATAACAGAGGGTGGCTCACTAGGATAGAGAAGACTGGATCAGCACTGAGTTGTAAACTAATCTAAATGAACATAAGCCATAAACAACCATAGTAACACATTACAAAGTCCAATACAAGGGTCATTTTGGCATCAGCTTAAACACATTTAAGAATAACTACAGAGGGGGAAAAGGACATATGGGATGAATACCCACTAAACATCATGGACCTCGTGTGGGTCAATATAGCACAGATGTAATAGTTTAACCAGTAGCCAAGGGTTGTTTTTACCCAGTGTTGGTATTAGTATTAGATTACTGTTGGGGCTGTGGATCAAAAAAGCCTGGGTCTTGGCTGGTTTTCTACCCATGGGTACCAGAAAAAAACGAACCCTTCTTGCGTCTGTACTACAATTAATGACCCTTCACAGTGTGTAGACTGACAGAATAAGAAGATATGAAAATGGAGAGAAAAGCAAAACCAGATGACGCTGATGCAGACGACGGGAAGAACGGAACAATAATCAGGAGAGGCAGATAAGATGTGAGGACAACAGGGAAGAAAGACAGAAAGAAGATAGGCAGTGAGAAAGAAAGAGGAAAGACAAAGTGGGAAAAACAAGAAAGAAATGGGGTGAGAAGGGGAGAGAACAGTCACATGAATAGTTGACAAGAAGAAAGCTGTCAGTTGTCACACATTTTATGTGAATAAATTATCAGGCACACCACTGAGCACATGGCTGCATCTTAGAGTTGTTAATAAAACATGGAACAAAAATAAATGATCTTTATTACTTGAGAGGGATGAACCCGAGGGGAACCACGTCTTTACTGTCTTAGTGCGCCATCTAGTGTTTGTGCAGAATAACTGTCCTGTGTCTGCTCATAATGTTCAATATGTGGAGTCATAATCAAACTCAGCCACACATTTCTAAAAAGCTCACGTTCCCTCCATGTTTATGAAGAGCGCTGAATTAAAGCGGACACAAAACACAGATATAGATCTCAGCATCTCCACCGCACACAGAAAACTCCCACTCAAATGGAGCTCAACAGAGTTCAAGTTGTACTGTTTTAAGTAAAAATTACAAAAATGCACACAAGCCAAACAGTGCAGTGGCTCAGCACTGAATCTCATTACTACAACACCTCCAGTCTGAGCCGTGGTGAGTCACTTGATTTTGTGAATAACATTACTTGTTCACATCGTTGGTACTGTAAATATAAGGAGCTGAGGCAGAAACTAGAAATACAGCTTTGTGATTTTATGGCTCAGCCAACCAGCCACATTCATGGGAATGGGACAGATGTGACCCTGACTTTTGACCAACAAAATCTAATCAGTTCATCCTTGACTCCAAATGGACATCTGTGCCAAATTTAAAAGGAGCTATACAATACTTGCATCTGGCTTCTCTTAACATAACACTACAAGGAGGCTATGTAAAACAATTAAAGTAGCTAACTGAAGCTTTTTTTAACGGTGTGTCTAAAGGATTAGCAGCAAGCTTATCTGTTTTCGAATAGTGCGTAAAGTCTCCCGAATTGAAATAACAGACTGCTTGCTCCTGACACATTCGTGGCCAAACGTGCCCCAATTATCTTCCATTGAAACCACATTTTTTAAATCTCACTCCCATTACAGTATAAAACCATGCATTCTGTAATGTCAGCATTTCATTTTGAAGAAAAGTAGTGATATTTGATGTTTTTACCGTATTTCACCAGATTCGACCTTTTCCCATTGTAGGCCGATACATGAAATTGTTGTATTTTTGCCATATTATGGAGCCATGTGACTACCAGGGGGCCCCAAGAGTTTTGTGTGTGTGTGTGTGTGTGTGTGTATGTGGGTGTGGGTGGGTGAGTGAGAGAGAGAGAGAGTGTGTGTGTGAATCTGTAAGCACACCGTGAGCTGCAGGATTCATTTGAAGGTGTCCTTTGTTCTCTTCATTTTTGCTACTTCTCTTTGGTCCAGGTCTTTGTCCTTCTCTACTAATGAAATGATGCCTCAACCAAGCTGCATGTTTATCTTTGGCTGTGAAGGCAGTCAGGTGCATATACACACTAATAGTTGTTATTGATTTTGTTTTTAAGTACAGCAAAGGCAGGAGGCCATGTTTTTACTCAAGCACCTCTTCAAAGACACATTGAACAATCCCTCAAAACCCACCCACACCCTCAAAACACACCCTTTTTTCAACCCTGAAATTATCAGTTCATGCTTACACACACACACACACAAAACTCTTGGGGCCCTCTGGTAGTCACATGGCTCCATAATATGGCAAAAATACAACAATTTCATGTATCGGCCTACAATGGGAAAAGGTCGAATCTGGTGAAATACAGTAAAAATATCAAATATCACTACTTTTCTTCAAAATGAAATGCCGATGTTACAGAATGCATGGTTTTATGGTTTTATACTGTAATGAGAGTGAGATAAAAAAAAAGTGCTTTCAATGGAAGTCAATGGGGCATTTTTGGCCACGAATGTGTCAGGAGGGAGTATCTGGCACTACATAAAAAAATACTAAAGCAATCAAATCAATTTTGTTGCTAATCTTTGACATATCCAAGACTCTACTCACCACCAAAACCCCATCCTCCTACTATTTATTATATGGAAAATCATTCATTTCTGGTGGGTTTTTTGGTAATAAATAATTCCTAATTCAAATTAATAACTGGCATTTAAAATTTTAAATCCTGAGAATTATTGAATGTTTGGTAGTTCTGAGCAAGTCAGACATTGTTTAAGAGATTTATGAAAAAAACTGAAAACATTTTGAAATATGAAAAATTAATATTCATATTTTTGTACGTGTACATTTTTGCCACAAATGCGTCAAGAACATAGTACATTTAAGGAGGGCACAAGGGTTAAAAACCAGGTTTGCGCACATTATCGTAACCATCGTTGAGGCCTGAAATATCTGCATTTAAGAAATCCCTGGGCTGCATGAGTGGTAAAGGAGCCCGAAATCTTTTATCTGCAGTCAGACAATTTGATTTATTGAGTGGTTAGAACAGTCGTCTCCGAGCCAGGAGGTTGAAGGTTCGAATCTCGACTCCTGCAGTCCACATGTCGAAGTGTCCTTGCAAGACATTAAACCCTCCGTTACTCCCGATGGTTAGAGCCATCGGTTGAGTTGGCACTGCAGATGGCTTCCTCGGTTCTGTACCGGAAACAAATTCCTTGTGTGTAACATCCTTGTCCTTTGTTTTGTTCAGTGTGTATGATTTGTTGCTCAGAACTTTGTGGGTTCTGTAGACAAAGTTACTGCCTTGTATGTCTGTAAATATGATGTTCAATAAAGGAAGGGAAAAAAATCGTAACCAGTCTGAACCTGCCTCTAGCTAACTACCCTGTTACTTTACTCCTGGCCCCGCCCCTTTCCGCTACCTCAACCAATGAGGTTAATCCTGTGCAAACGGTTCATTTACCTGGTTGAAACAACATTTCTAGCTCAGTATTTGCTCAATAGCTCAAAGAAGAGTGTTCACTGCCTAAGATTTATTTGGATTCTGACTTTAAACGCAAAATTCTGAGGAACAAAGGTCCGAATTCTGAAATTAAAGTCAGAATTCAAATAAATTTTATGCAGTGGCCCTAATCCTCTTCCGTACTAGCTTGCTCTGGAGCTTTCAATTGTGTTGAAATACAAAACATCCGGTGTTCCGTCAACGTGGGGACGTAGATGTTAAAACATGATCTTTAATCACCTCAACCACTTCTAACCCAGTAGAAGATATCAGGTACAGATGGCTTCCTCGGTTCTGTACCGGAATGGTTCTGTAGACAAAGTTACTGCCCTTAAAGTCAGAATTCAAAATGAGGACGCAGGGACTCTAGAGGTTAAGGCATTGTTCTGGAGGACACAGCTGATTACACAACAAACTCCATGTCCACTTGCTTGCTCTTGACATTTAATATCTTAGTATTTCTCTTTATCAAGTTTATTAGGAAAAGTATAGCTTTAAGGGCAAATGATGCAAATTGCCACTTTGTTAATCATCAAAATGTGATTTAAAAAGTAATTCAGCCACAAAACCCACTGAAATGATCATTTCTTTCTTTCTATGCCTCAACTCCAAATAGGATCTCTCATTCCAAGTTGCATTAATGATCATTTCAACAAGTTCTGCTATGTTTTAAGAATTAGCTAGTAAACTATAGCAGCTCTTGTAGGTCTACTTCCTCTTGTTCTGGCAGATGAAATATTACCAAAAATAGCATGCTGCGAATTGTGAAATGGGAACAACTCCAGAAAAAACAAACAAACAAAAAAAAAACACTACAGGACCCTGGCAGTTTAAAACTTGCTTGACATTTTGCTAATAATAATAATAATGAACTTTAATGTCATTCTGTTCATGTTTTTTTCCCCAGAGAAAACCCCTTTTCAAACTAACGTTAATATGGGAAAAAGAAGCAAACGTATTAACACTCACTGCATCCACTAATCCAGTTTATTTTCCTCAGCAGAAAATGGAACACGATAAAATTAAAAGGAGAAAATAAGACAGAATTATGTTCTTGCTTTTTATACATCTAACTAAATATGCCACTCTATGCTAGGGTGTAAGTAACTCAAACTGATATAAGGTTAAATATTTTTTCTTTAAAAGGTACAGAAAGATATTCAATTTCTTCCATTTCTCATTAGCATTCAAAAAAGGAACAGGATTTTCAAAAACAGAACCAGTCACAACATTTCTCCAAGCTCCCTTTATCCTTCGCTGTGTTCTCATTGGAGAAGATAAGGGCAAGGGAGAGAAGAACAAACAACTTGCACATGTTAACGTAGTTAAGTGGTGTCTGGTTAAAAGGGCTCTTCACCCGAATAAACTTTTATGAAGTTCAAAGAAAAAAAAAAAAAAAAACTTTTATGAAGTTCAAAGAAAAAATTTTTTTTATGAAGTTAAAAAAAAAAAAAAAAAAGCTTTGCTTCTCCTGCTATTCAAGGAAATCTACCACTTCATGTTTCTGAGTTCTCCAAGTTGAAAAACAGTCTTGTACAGTTCACCATCATCACATTACACTCCACATGATGCTGCAAGTACATTTAATGGAGAGTCCTGCAAATGAATTAAACACATTGCAAAATGCATGTGTGTGCTAATACACCCAAATAACAAAACAAAACAAAAAAAATCTGAAGAAAAAAAAAGTCAGCTTCTGCCACATCACCAACAAAAAGTCAATTTTGGTAGAATACTCCTTTTAGGAAACAAGGAAGAGAGGTGCGTAACTGAACATTATGCACAGCACAAAGTCCAAGCAGTCAGACTGCATAAGAACAGGTCAGAAACAATGACATAACAAAACCTTATGAGGAAAGGGAAAACCACTCAATTTGAGAATTCATGTTATTTCTATAGCCAAAACCAGCCGAGGCATCACTGGAGAGCTGCAACAGTTTGAATCTGTGTCAACAGATTCATGGTCTTAAGTCTGCATTTGATCATACATTTAAATTTATCTGAACAAAATTAATAGTGATACTGGACTGGAGTGAACCAAGCGTGGTTGGTTACCTTGCAGCAGTGGTGAGTTTAGAGTCCAGCCACATTCAAAACTTACCAACATTTGGCTGCAGTTACCTTACAAACCTTTGGGTCATAACATCTCTAAGTTAACCAGCTTTTCTCAGCCTCAACTTGTGCTGTGTATCAATATGACATCACTGATTTTAACTGTGGGACAAACCCACCTCTTTACAATTTAATAAACGCTGACTAGTAGAAGTGACGCCCCGGAATTATAATTTCCCCAATGTGAAAATTGACACCTAATACTACCCGTAAACACGAAAGAAAAAATTATAGAACCATTTTAAAGGGTAGTAAGTAATGTATGTGTTTAGTGCTCATCTAACTGTAGACACTCTGTGATGAACTTGTTTTTGAAACTAATACAAGCCGTTTTGGCGAAGAACTCGTCATTTGAATACAAAAATTCAGTCGTATTTCCCTTTATTTATCAAGAACAGTACCACTCAGTAATTTGAAAAGAGGGAGGGAAAGAATGTGCTACACAGAGGATTCATATGAGTGACTCTTGTCCATTAGTGTGGTTTTCATGTTTTTTT